TTCATCACATATTATAGAATTATGAAATGTGCATCTTCAATTAGTCTTATCTGCAACATTAAGTCAATAATTGAAGGTTACCAGATACAAAAACTAAATATATATATTGCATAATGGGTAGCTTGGGGGTTGCAATGCACCAGCATTCCTTCTCTGGATCACAGAATTTCCAAGGATGGATGAGGTCAGAAAATTGATGTGGTTTGTTGTTGTTTTTTCATTTGAAGTTAGGCTAAAATAAAGGGGGGAAATGTCCATCTCAATCCCTGCAACTGCTCTAATGTACCCATTACACACCTGAAACTGAAACTCTTACAAAACACACTATGGCCTTGTAGAAGGAAGGGGAAAATAGCTAAGAACATCCTGTTCTTCCCCTTCCCTTTCTTTACCATCTGTATAACAATTAGCCCCAAGATAATGAAATGGAGAAGCCACAGCTCACCATCTCCAATTTCTAGTATGCTAGGAATTGTCTACTTTCTGGTGGTCACCCACACATGAATGTCACTTGTTCCTCTCAATAAAGACTGTAGGCAGAGCATATAACTAAATTTACAACTAACAGTGTCTTGGTTTATTAAGAACAAAACTAATGTGCTGCATGCTCAGAGCTATTTTAGGCACTACCAGCATTGTGACCACAAATAATATGAAGATTCATGCAATTTCCTTCCTTAGGCCAATCTATATCTGGTGAGTCAAATTACAAAATGAGCTGGGTGCTGTAAAAAGTCTGGATATCTGTAGCATCATGCTTATGTATCTTACTGCCTTACACCAAAAATATTGACCTTAAAACTTCAGAATCTCTATGAATCACAAGTCTGTTGTTCCAACTTTTATTTATCTACCATGCTCCAGATTCTGCTTAATCTATACAATACTTTTTTGCAACTTAAATTTATATGAAGGATTCTAACAGTGATGATTACAAAATTAAGTACCAGAGTTTCATCTATTATTAGTATAAAGAAAGATGTGGAATACTTTTTAAACAAACAATTGGTTGATCAATTATATGCCAACAGATTGTGATAATTCTTAGCAACTACATTCACCATGACAATCTATCCCTATCCCAGTCTTTCAATGCAGAAGCATCAAAGGGTATATCCCATAGTCCTTGTCCTAAGTGAAGTTCCAGACTAACATCACTGACCAAAGAGGTAAGGAAGATCTTGCTAGCAAAAATTCAAGCCATGGCATTGTAAGAAACAATAAACTCTTCATTAGGAAAGTATGACTGGATTTGGTTCTGTAAACATTCCTTCCTTGTTTGAAGGGAATTTATGTCACCAGATGGAGGAGGGGGGAAAATTATATTTATATAAATTTATATAAAATGATTTACTGGTGGTATTTGGCACCAACGAGATTGGCTAAGATATCTCCCAACATAAGCCCAAAGTGTTGGAAATGTCATCTAGCAGACGGTACCTTCTATCATATGTGGTGGCTATGTCCTGAGACCAGGAACTATTGGATTAAAATTAAAAATTGGATGCAGGAAATTACAGGATATCAAATTGAACCTAAACAGGAACTCTTCCTATTAGGAATAATTAAGGATCAATACCCAAAAGAGATAAAATATATTATTTTATACATTCTAACAGCAGCCAGGATAGCTTTTGCACAAATGTGGAAAGGACCTAACACCCCTCCAGAAGACTTAGTTCTACATAAAATACTAGAATGTGTGGAAATGGATATGCTTACACTAGAAATGAAAGACAAGGAAAATTCTGAATATTACTCAGTCTGGCATAAATGGTACGAATGGTTAGAAAATAGATAAAAGAAATAAGAAGAATGGATTAGTGTAGTTAAGAGATCTTACAAGAATGATACAGTAGATATATAAATATATAAGATAGAGATAATTATAGTAGAGATAATAGTTATTGGTTGATATATATAAAGTATAAGATATTTATAAGATGACTATATGTGTCGATGTCAAAACACTGTCACAGATATGAATGTGATTTGTATTGGTGGAAAATATAATAAAAATCTATTTTTTAAAAAAATCCTTCCTTGTTTAACAGAGATCTAGAAAACTGGGTGGTGGGTGACAGCAGCATAAATAAAGCAAAAATAAGAAAAACCAGTTTGTTCTGCCTCACAAAATCTAAACATTCTTAAGCAACTCAGAATAACAGTGACTTTCTGCAACCTATGTGTAAATGTTTACAGGAACTAAATTAAATTTTCTATTTAAAAAGGAATGTGTGATAATTTTTGAACACTTAGCAGTAGCTTAATACAAATAGTCAGAAATGTGTAGAATATCATTTGTTTAAAATGTATTGATGACTGAAATCATATCACACATCATTTTAACCCAACTTTCAATAACTTTAAGGGAAGACTGGTATGGTTACCTTTTGACCCAATTCTTTCTCGCATGGAAGATTTTCAATACCTTTTATGGCTATATTTCAAGGTTCTCTCATATCACAAGACCTAAAATGGATGCCTAACATAAAAAACATCATCAAAAAAGCACAACAAAGAATGTTCTTTCTGCGCCAACTCAGAAAGCTCAAACTGCCCAAGAAGCTGCTGATACAGTTCTACAGAGGAATTATTGAGTCTGTCACAGTGGTGGCATTCAAATAGTTTTACCACCGGTTCGGTGGGCGTGGCTTGGTGGGCGCGCTTTGTGCATGTGCACACACTTTGCATGTGCGCACACCAAACGTGTACTTTGTGCAGGCACTGAAGCATTTGCGCAGGCGCAGAGGTGTTCTAACTTACCTCCTGCAAGCCTGCACGATCCCAGTCACTTCAGCAGCTGCCGTGCAGCACTCTTCTATGCCATGCAAAGCAGCTGTGCTTCAAATTCAGAGGATAAAGGAGAGTGTGGGAGCCCAAGTGGGCCCAACAGCAGAGCGGCAGAGAGAACCGGTTCGGTCTCCACTGCTCATCACTGCTTGTTTGAACTTTGCTTAAAAGTTTCTGAAAGTAAAAACCTACATTTACTGGACAGTGTATCTGTGTGCTGTGTGTGTATTATTCAAACACTACTCTCAAATACGTCTCCCTGTACGTGCTCATTCTCCTAACGGGGAATTACCTCAACACTGGTTATGGGCCCAGGCCATACCAGGCTCAGATAACTGAGAGTTAGTGTGAATGCACAGTACTGTATAC